CCTACACATAGGCACTGCTGCCAGCAGAGGGTGCTGTTCACTCACTGAGCTTGCTGTCACTTTGGCGCAGCTGAGCTGCAGCTGTTGGGCATGTGCCCTGGGTCTGTGTGAGAGTTTGGGCATGTCCATTTGGTTCCCATCCCTAGTGCCCACCCCTTAGACCCTGGCCAGGTTATTGTGTCACTAGGGACTCTGCTTAGTAACAGGAAACTGGGGAAAGTTTAATTGTTTTCTCCTCTCTTTTTCCCATGCAGCTGAACAAAAGGTTCATCCTCAGTTTTCTCCATGCCCATGGGAAGCTGTTTACCCGGATTGGGTAAGTGTGCAGGATGTTTATTTTATTTTCCTACATTACAAGTCATTTTGGAATTTAATATTGTTAGCAACTAGACTGTGTTTGTAACTGAGGGCACAGGGTGTGAATTCTTAGAGGCCTCCACCTTCTCTTCCCTTCAGTCACTCTCCTGTGCTCATGAAGTTTGGGAAATATGACTCTCCATCCCTCTGTCTCTTCTTTCTCTGTATTTACTAAAGCCCCCTTTTAAACACAGTTGTATCTCAGCCCCCGCCCCCCCACCGCCCCACACACACTCCTAATCCCTCTGGGTTTCTTTCCTCTGCCTTCCAGCTCAGCCCCTAGTAAGCTCCTCAAGGAAGTCATGCTCATTTCTTGGGTGCAGCTGGCAGGGGTCCTCCTTGTGGAGAATACTGCCCACTCATTTTCCCTTAAAGAGAAGAATAACATATTCTTTCCTCCAGCATTTTCTCTTCATCATGAGCCATACCCCTTCCTTTGAGGCTGAGGTTCTTGCACTATATTGCTGATCTTAGTAAATGCTAAGACTTTTCTGTGGTTTCACCATGTACCATGGATTTACATATCAATCTCAGGGAAGGTGGTATGAGCAAAACCCTCTTACTTCACTCATTAAATCCGTGGAAAGAAATCAAGCTTTGAGTGTTTGTTTGTTGGATCAGAGTTTTTCCTCAGTGTGTAAAACTAGTGATCCTAAAGCCTGACTAATGCCTGCACACCAGAGCAGATGTGTGCTGAGTGCCTCTTCAGTTTAGGGGAGGAGTAGGTGGCAGTGCTCTCAAGACAGGTGGTCTTCTACTGCATTTTAATATTTTCTGAGTTGGAGTTTTATTGTGAGCTACCCTTTGAGGTGATATGTTTTGGACTGTAGATCCCCTGGTTATTGTCAGTGTTCCTCTTTCACTTTCTGTCATAACCTCGTAAGTTTATCTGTAATGCTGTAGAAGATTTCCTTAGTGGGAGAGGCTGAAAAGCTTTATCCAACTTGAAGAAACTGTTCCATGGAAGGCAAACTAGAAAGTGTGCTTATTACATATTCATTTGTCATCAGTGTGGGCAAGAGTGACAATGATGGCCATTGCAAGGGTAGTCTTGATTTTTAAATGGCTTGGGAGACTTGGGGTAGTGCCCATAGATGCATCTCTATTAGTAGAAATAAGTGTAAAGTAATTTACTTAGGAAAAGTAAACTAGGTGCATCAGTAACTCCCCTTTCACTACCTCCCTCACCCCCATGTAAGCTCTGCTGTAGCAGGATTTTTTGCCTAACAGTGTTGTATCCCTAGTGCCTGGTGTGTAGTAGGTGCTCAGTAAATATTTGTATGAGTGAGTGAATTATTGCAGAAATGGATAGACTCTAAAAGACTGGAGAGGAGGATATAATATTTTAGTAGGTTATATATAGTAGGCCCAGGCCAATCATTAGTAATGTAAAGCTGCAGTTTACAAGACAGGCAAGATGATAACAGTATCACTTTATAAAATAACACATCATAGCAGGAAATATTGTTGTGTTGCACTTGAAATAGCTGCTGTCATTCTTTTATCTCTTTATCATCTTTTTTAGTTCTCATTTTAAAAATCTTTTTTCCCTTACTACCTTTCCACTCAGTTTTTCTCTCCTTTTTTCCTCTTCCTGTGTTTGTTCTTTAAATTTTCATGTACCATGTTGCTCTAAGTCAGGATTTCTCAACCTCTGTACTATTGATATTTTGAGCCTTGTAATTCTTTGTTGTAGGGAGCTGTCCTATGCATTGTAGGATGTTTAACAGCATCCCAGGCTTATATCCACCACATACATGTCAGTAGCATTCCTTCTTCTCCCCCGAGCCATGACAATTAAAAATGTCTCTAAACATTGTCAAGTATTCCCTGGACGGTAAAATTGTTCCTGGTTAAGAACCACTGCTCTTGGTATTTGTTAGGTCTGTTGGAGACTTTGGGGACTAAAGAAGCTCTAAATCTTGGTCCAGAATGTAGAAATATTTAGGATATATTTTTATCAAGTTAAGTATTAGTTAGAACCTTGTTTTTTCCCCCTTTTAAAATTCTCATATTTTGATACATATATTTTGGAGGAGGTTTGGGAAAGAACTAACAATACTGATTAAAAAGCTAGAAAATGATTTCTAGGAGGAAAAATTAATCTTAAAAAAATTAAGGTAAAAGGTTCCCCCTGTGTTTAAATATAAAAGAGTCATAACCAGATCGTTTTGATTTCTGTGGGACGACAGCAAGAGATAATAGGCTTATGTTGCAGCTGGAGAAATTTGGGTTAGGTATAAGAAAATTTCACAGAGGGAAGATGTTCAGGAATTTTCTTCTCTGGAAGCCTTTAAAAAAGTATAGATTATCTCATTTGTCAGAGGTGGTTTGCTGTGGTCCAGATTATTTTTCAATATCTCTCTTATTTCTGCATATAACATGTTCTGTTGGCAAAAAGATGAGGCCAGTCTAGTTTCACCTTCATAAAAAATGAGTTATAGTGGTGTTCACATGAGGAAAACGTATGTAAATTCTAGGCAGTCCAGCCCCTCGATGAGTATTCATTCCTCTTAGCTCTCCTGGAGGTAAAAGAGAATTGAGCCCCATATTTATTTGAGAAGGCAGAAACAGCAGTAACTTTTCTATTGGAAAAAAAAAAAGTTTAGAAGTCTGCAAGACTAGAAAAGCCACACACAACAACATGGACTGTTGCCTAATTACCAAGAAGATGTGAAATGTGGGCGGTGTTGAAAACAATTTAAGAGTGAGGAGATTGTAATGGGGAGCAGCTGAAGCCACATCCACTGTCCCGCATGCCTTTTGAGAAAAGCCCCGACGTTGCTCTTCCAGTGTTTGTATTTGTGTCCAGTGTTCCAAACTGCATCAGTATATTCTTGAATGCCTACTGTGTGCAACAGTCTCCTTACTCTCAGCATCCAATGAAGAGTAGGCTCAGAGAGTGTTAGATGGGAATCTCATACCAAAAAGAATTTTTAACTACTAAGTAGTTATAAGACACCGAGAGTGCACAAGTCAAAGCCTTTGTGGGCTTCAGTTTTCTTATCAGTAGTTTAGATAATATCCAAGGCCCACTCCAGTCCTTATGTTCTGTAGCACTATAATTTTTTCCCTCTCATTTCTACTCTTGTCACACAGCTTAGTTGTTTTTGTTTTTTGCCACTGGGTGCTTTTGTCTTGTTCAGTTTTTAAAAATTACGAAGTTGAGAAGAGTTAGAAAGCTTGATTCTTTTTTGAAGAGAATGTTGTCTAGTTCAACTGTATTTCTCAGCACCTGAAAGGTTGGGTCCTACTCCGTTAGTCACTGTCTGAGTCACTTCCGGGTTTAGGTCCTAGTGTTGTATGAAAGATTGGTTTCTTGAAACTGCCATTCAAATGAGACAAGGTGTCTCTAGAGATCACTTTAGAAAGCAGTCACTTAAGTCGGTGAAATCCATATCCTGAGAATGATTCTATCTTCTACAGTTTTAAAGGATAGGGACAGACTCTTCTCAGGCTCAGGAAGAGGAATCAGTCAGGGGTACCAAATGGCTCCTGACAGACACTTGCTTTCCTGGTGAGAGGAGGGCAGATCAGACCTGCACTTGGACTCCAGTAAGAGAGATTGGGAAGCCAGCAGCCTGTAGAATTTCGATTTTTGATAAGTAGGATAATTGTGCTTCTCATTATTGCCCTGGTTAAAGTTACTAGTTTAGTTTTTACTTGCTCGCCTAGCGATGCTATTTGCACAGCTTCAAGGTCTCTTGGAATTCAAAGACATATATTTATTTTGGACTTTGAATTGTTAAAAATATAATGTTTGTATCTTGATTTATTTTTAAAATTATAAGTGTTCTATATAAAAGCCAGAAGTATTCATTATAAGGGAAATCTTTTTGTATAGTGTTTATTGTAAATATTTAGAAAACTCAGCAAAAATAAAAAATTATTCTCACTATTTAGAGGTAACTACTGTTGATGCTTGATGTGTATTTTTATCTTTTTTTCTATGCATTACACACATTTATTTTTTACAAATCTATACATAAAGGGATCACATTAATCTACTTTAAAACCATTTTCATTTGACGTATGTTAAACTTTACCCACATGATTTAAAAAATCTAATGCAACTTTTAAAAAATATAATTCAATTGTATGGATGTGCCATCTTAATTACCTGTTATTGGCATTTTATAGGCTGCTTCCAATTTCTTGCTGTTATAAATTACTATTTTTTAATGTTTTCTTTCCTCTGTTGCTACTGCTGCTTCTTGGCTGAAACTTTTATAATTATTACATAAATAATATACAAATCTTCTTATAAAAATGTAGTATTACTGCTAAGGCTAAAATATCTTTCAACTCTTCCCCAACCCCTGTGCCCTCCAAAGAGATAACCCTAGACATCAGGTTATGTATTCTTCCAAACCTTTTAACTTGTATGTATCCATAAAAACCACAATTTTATTTAGTGGATTTTTTCCTCAATATAAATTGTATATTGTCATTATCTCAATTTAGTATAATTTTTGTTCTATAATATGAGGTGGGGCAAAGAGAAAGACATAAAACTACTTAGAGGTAATTTGAGGCCAAAATCAGACAGCATTTTAGTTAAAAAATTGGGAACCAGAAACCCTGTTATTGAGCTCTGAAGAAGAGTTTTTTATCTGTGTGTCCTTCAGTTATTGCCTGACAAAGCTGATTTTGTCCGAATAGATCCACCTTCTCTCATATTTTAGAATTGAAGTTACTAACTTATTTCCTTATGCATTTGATTTTTTTCCTTTTAATCATGTTGAACTAGTTGAAAGGCAAAGGGAGGATTTAAAAAAAAAAAAACTTAAAAAAAAGATGTGGACATTTGGCCTTGCTTGAGACCTCAGTCTGACTTAGGGAGTGTTAATGGATCTCTTTCAGTTCCCATCCCAGGGAAGAGGCTTCCTCAGACACAGCTTCGGAGTAAGACTGTCCCACGTGACACTCTGTCATGTCATTCTATGCTGGCTTTCTACTGCCTTTCAACACGGAGACACATGGCTCTGAAACTTGCCCAGTGTGGCTGCTTTTCAAGCAGAGTGAACTCTGCTGTTCTCGTAATGAGAAGTGCTAGTCCCCCTCCCCACCTCCAACCAGAGAGAGTGCTGCACAGTGTCAGGATTTAAAATGAAACCTTTGTTATAGCCCATGGGGAAAATGGATCCAATCCAGCCCCAAACATATCACTCTGTTGTTCCAAACTTACCAAGAGTTTTAATAGTTCTGAAACATTTTAGAGAGGAAAAAAAGAAAAAAGAGGGTTTTTTTTTGTTTTTCTTTCTTTCTTTCTTTCTTTGTGTGTGTGGTGTGTGTGTTGTTGTAGTTTTTGTGGGGGGGCATCACTTGAAATGGCATAAGAGGGGAAAGCAAATGCATGACATGTTTTGTGCCAATGAAAATGAGGACAGCTCAGCAGAGAAAGGAACTGGCATATAAACTATAATTGACCCATAGCTGTGGCATGACTTCTGGGTACCAGAAGGTTAGTAATAGTATTTGCCATCCAAGGGCAAGGAAGATTGCTAAAATGCCAGAAAGGGCTGGAATTTTCCAACCTGGGGAGGGTACTACTTAGTGGGGAAAGGATCATGGTTTGGGTGAAACTAGAAGCACCTTTCTCTAGCACTTGAGAAGGATTCCCTTTCCTGTGGCTTTCCGTAAGATATTTATTAATCCAACCTGAAGTTCTTCTTTACCCTGCCTCCCAGTGTACCACAAGCAGTTTTTTTGTTTGGAGGTTGGGGTTGAGGATGGATAAAAGATACTTTGTTGACCACGAATTGTTCAGCATGGCCCTAAGGCCCAGTGTGCCTGGTTTTTCTCTCTAACACCAAGTTTGAATTTGCTTTTTATTTCTGAAGACTTCAGCTGTGGTTTGTCCCTGTTGCCAAAGGAGCTCCAGGCATGCACCACTGTTTGGGATCCAGTGGCCACATTTGGCAAGCAGTGGTTTGAACGACCTCTCTTTAGGAGCCCTAGGTCACTGGCTGGATTTCTACCTCCCTACATTACAGGCTCTTCCTGTATTGGGAGTGGCAGTTGGCCAGGGCATTATATTTCCACTGGCCTGAAAACATACAGACCCTGATGAGCAGAGTCTTGTGAGGGAGAACAGCAACACAGGAAAGGCTGAAACAGATCACTCGGGCCCTAGGTCTACGGATTCTTCAAGGGGAAATTTGGAATCCTTAGGTAGAACAGTTAGTGTGATAGTACCTAAGAAGACAGCAGCAGAACTATTCCTGGTTTCCTGAAGTAAAGCCTTGAGTAAAGAATCTTTAGATTCATAAACCTTTTTTGGAATATAGCTTTCATACCAGAATTTGGGGAACATGTAGGTTTTAGAGCTTTTTAAAAAAAATTGTTTGCTGTTTAGAAAAATTGATTGTTTCAAAGAGAATCTTTGATTTCAGCATGAATCCAGTTATTGCCAGGGGTTAGGAAATAGCATACCAAAGTATAATAACTCATAGTGATTTATCCAAAATTGAGTTTTTTCCTGTCTCCGAACCCTGAATACTTCTTTCTTTTAAATTTGTTCACAACCTTAGGATATCAGGAAGGTTTGTGAAAAGTAGCAAAGAAATGTCCTAGGCATAAGTTTCTGAGAGAGAGACAGACAGACAGAGAGACAGACAGACAAATAGACAGACAGACAGACAGACAGACACACACACACACACACGCACGCACAGACTGACAGACACAGAGAGAGAGCGTGAGTGTGTACCAGGTGTTCTTGGAGATGTGCCTTACTGATGACCTGGCTGTATTTATAGGATGGAGACATTCCCTGCAGTGGCTGAGAAGGTCCTCAAGGAGTTCCAGGTGTTGCTGCAGCATAGTCCCTCTCCTATTGGAAGTACCCGCATGTTGCAGTTGATGACTATCAACATGTTTGCTGTACACAACTCCCAGTTGAAAGGTAAGGCATGTTTAGTTTCTTTATCTAGAAATATAAAGTTTAATCTAGCTTCTTTCCTATACTACCATACCACCCTCCCCCATCCTCACCCCCCCTGCCACAACACACACACACACCCTTCCCCACCATTGCCTCTCAGATCTTTAGTTTACTCTCTGAAATCTGTTTGACTCTCTGGTGCTTGGGTGGGATGGAAGGAGGGAATCATGGGTAAAGAGTTTAATTTGCAAACCCAGAGATGCTGTTGCACATCTGGCCATGCTAAAGGCAGCAAGCAGCAAGGCCTCTTGGAGTCGGCAGACCCAGAGCCTCTCCCAGGGGAGAGGCATTGCTGAAATGTTTCATTGCAGAGACCATACGCTTGGCAGGGATTGGGAATAGCTGTTTCTGGACTCATGTACCCTGTTTGTTCAATATGGAAAAGTCTAGTTCCCTGTGGGATATCCCTTGTGGGAGCCTGCCAGGGAGTAAGAACAGAGAATTGATGAGCTTTGGTGACTCAAATCTGGAAGCACAAAAATCACCAGGCCCAGATTTTGGCTAACATGCTGGTGTACATTCTGAAATATTTTTCTGAACACTGGAGGTTTTTGTGGGGTGGGGGAGATTGGGGGTGCTGATTGGCAGGATTATTAAATGTTTTATTAACCAGGTCATAGTCAAAGGATGTTACCAAGATTCCTTCCCTTCACCCCACTTATTAGGTAAGGATGATGTGGTTTAACTTGATAGAAATATAACAGGAGTGACATTATTTTGTGTTTGTTTGCAAGGGAGATTTGGTCCATGCTGCCAAAGAATCGTTTCACAGCATTGTCATAGTAAAGTTTGGTCTCAGGGCTGAAAGGTTATTATCTGAAATGCCAAGAAGTGGGAATTGCCCCATGGAGACTCTGCCACAAAACTGACTTGGCATTTCTAGAGAGAATGTCGCTAGTTCTCTTATTGCATCTTTCCTTGTGTTTTCTCTCACTCTAAAGTTGGCTTATTTCCCTTTCCATTTGTATTTGGGGGTTACGTATCAGCATGCTATGGGGTTGGGGGGATTTCTCCCCTGGTGAGTAAATATGCCATAGTTTCCCTTGAAACTTGGCTCTTCCTGGGACTCTGCAGGATGCTGTGCTAGTCTGCCTGGGTCTTCAATCATTTTTAAATCATAGAGGATTTTCTCCTCTTAGGCTGCCCACTGCAGTGTTTAGAATTCCCAGCAGAAGGCAAGATGTAGAGGTTTAGGTGCCATTTTGAACTTAGCTAATTATTCCTAAGAACAGCTCTGAGGAGGCATGTAGTCCTGAGGAGCAGTGGTGGTTTCCAGGAAGAAGGAAGTAAAGTTTTTAAAGTGCTGTCCTGGTGAGGCTGTGAAGTCCAAAGGGGCAGGAGATTGATTTTTTCCTTCATTACTATCCTGGATCTGCTACCAAGTGGAAGGCTCACTGGACTCAGGAAATGGGCCTCCCAAAGTGCCCTCCTATTCATTTTCCTGCCTCCCTCTAACAACAACCCGGAGTTCAGCGAGCTGCTTGTCACAGAACTGCAGCCTCTGCCGAAATATTGTTCCAGCATCAAGTGACTTGTCTTGGGAGGTGCGAATGTAAAGGACTTGCAGCTCTCATCTGTAAAGTATCTGTTGTCAGAAGCTTCTGCTCCATGAAAAGGAATACCTTGGCCTTTTCATAGGCCTTCTGTGAGTCCTTTTCTTGGAGTTGTGTTGAGTAAAGATTAAGAAAATACTGGTGAAAGACAGGTGAGATGGTGAGAACAGAGAAGGAAGGAAATAGGTGCTTCCTCCATTTGAGGCCAAGGTACTTTTTCTAAGACTCTTCTTCATGGTTGGTTATGATGAGGACCTACTAGCCAGGAAGGACATGTCAAAGCCTGTGCTTGAGACCCTACTAATTTCTGGCCCTATCCTGATGCTCTCCTTCATGAGGCAACTAGGGCCAAGAGGAGTATGAACTGAGGTGGTCAGAAGCTCCAAGGGTGTTTCAGGGAAAAACAGCCTGGGCCACAGGATATAACACTTAACTAGGACAGAGAGCTCTGTGGACATGCTGCCAAGTACCCGGTGTGCAGCTGAGGCGGCCGTCCAGACCCCACTGTGTGGGCTGCCATTGGGAGAGGGGTGAGCAGAGCACTCAGCGGGGCTGGTTGGTGGGAAGATGCACTTTTCCATTTCCCAGCACATGAGTCATCTTCTCTGGGCCCCTGTGCTGTACTTGCACGGACAGTGGCAAGAAGGGGGTGTTGTGGCTGAGTAGCAGCATCTGTGCTGGGGGTGGAGAGGGAAGGGGGTTGGGGAAAGGGTAAAGATTTAAATCCTTCACTAATCAGCAGCAGTTTGAATCACATTTTTATGAGTAAGGAAGTGATAAATCAGCCCCGAGTGTTCAGCCCCCAAGTCCCATCAGCCAGTGCCCTTCTAAAGGCTTCTCTCCAGGCCAGTCTGCTTGCTGTCAGAGTCGCCACTCAGCCGCGGGACCCTGGCTGTCTGAAACCAGGAAGCAAGGACTTGATGCTGCCTGGCCTTCCCAGGTGCTTGGGGTCTGTGGTGATTTGACAGACACTACAAGTTACAGAACATCTGGACCATCATTTTTCTTCTCATTCCTACTTGGATGTGTCCTTCTGGGTGGTGTTTGCATATGTCAGTTCCTGGACTCTGTGGAGAAGGAACGTTTCAGCCTGAAGCAGAGGTGATCTGTGGCCCACAAGGCAGTCAAGATCCTCTTAATCTGTGCCTGGGCTGTCCCTGTAGATGTGGACCTAAAGAGCATGATTTGGAGAGCAACAAGGACATCTTTTCTTAAAAGTATGTCCTTTATGATGCCTCTAATTCATTTTTTGCTGTGTGTGTATTCAGTGCTGCCTCTTGTGTAACTGTGTTCTTTTCAGAATACCCATAATCCAGGGATGGAAATGATAACTGTTACTTAACACTTTAGTATAATTATTTTTCAAATGTGTTTTCATTGTGGCCAAGACAGATATAAAACTATTTAAAAGCTTTGGACACCTCACAAGACAAAATGGAGGGAAAAAACTTAGATGGGGGTGAAAGAAAAGCATCTTTTCCCTTTTCCCAGGTTATAGTTTTTCCTGGAGTTTAGTGAGGCAGAGGTGAGGGGTCAGATTTGCCCCCCTGCCCACAGAGGAAAATAAGTTGAGTTATGCCACATTATTTAACCAACTAAACTTTCCAGTCTTAGCAGTGATCTTAAAACGCATGGGTTTAGGGCTATTGGTGGGGAGACCTTTATCTCCTCCCTCTCATGGACCCAATGCAAAAATCCTACATCAGTGAGAGTACAGAGAGTCTAGAATCTTGATACTCTGTGCTGAAGTGGTTGAGGACAGATAAATTTGAGGGATGTTTTGGGGGCTCTTACTGTAGTGCCTGGAATTTATGAGGCACTCAGTAATTATTTATTGAATACATAGATGAAGAAGGCAAGCAAGCTGTCATTGAATAGTGAGTTTCTTACTTGGCCTGTGTCCAAAATTGTCCTTTGGTGAGTGATGGGTGGTAGTGGTAGGTGGTTCCCAGAGTGATGTCACAATTGTTAATCTCTTTATGGCATTCCCAAGCCTGAAGGGAGAAATGGAGCCTTCTCCACGTGCCTCAGCATTTAACACTTCAGTAGCCGTCTGATTGGCTGATGTGATGCTGGTGGGTGAACTGTTGATGCAAACCACAAGCACTCTAAGAATTTTAATTTTTTAAAAATTCTGTAATTTAAGGAAATAAAACTCTAGTTTCTTTAAGAGGAGTAATTGAAGCAACATTTGTGGTAGGGCATCACTGAAATCCCATTGCATCCCCCATCTGTGCCCAATTTGCTCCAATCTGACTTTTTTTTCCCCTTCCTTTTTCTCTCTCCCTCTTGCTTGCTCTCTTTTTAAAAAATATGTTTTATAATTCCTGGAATCAAAACCATCTCAGGCACACACTGTTTTATTTTACTGTATTATTGGATTATACTTTCTATAAATCATTGGATGTTATTCATTGGCCACCACTGGAATAACTTCCCTTTTCTGTGCCCTGGCCCCCTCTTTTCTTCCTCTACCAGTGCATAGAGTAGGCCTCCATTTCAGCCTTACAGAAAAGCCCTGGTGGCAGCAAGAGGGCACCCAAGAGATACTTCTTGTATGTGCCATTGGTGCTTTCTGTCCTTAGGGAACATTTAGGGGCTGAGATTGAGGCAGGGCTTGACTGGCATTTCTTTCATTACCATTTATGCTTGCTTTTATGGTTTGTTAGTAATCCTGAATTGCAGGAGGTAGAGAGAGTGCCACATGTTCACCTCCAGAGGAATAGAGAATCATAGCTGTCTATGGGAATGATAGAGCTTAACTCAGATGTGCAGATGTGTGGGATACTTGAGATGGGAACCTTACACCTTTATGCCATTTTTGTATATGCAGGTTGACTCTGGTCGTTTCACAACCAGAATTTTTTTTGTCTTCCAGCATACAACCACCTTAGAGACCTTGAGTAAAGCAATTTGTTCCTCCGTGGCAATTTACTTCTGTCTAAGTCTCTTATTCAAACAGAATGTATGAAGTGCCTAATCCTCTGCTTGTCGGAACAGTTGTACAGGAAATCCACCTTTCATAGGGGGTTAGGCTTGCGTTTAGCTGAATAAACTGTCCCTCTCATTCTCCTTCTCTATCTCTGGTAGTAGAAGCCCCTGGGATTTTTTTCCTCAAGGATCCATGGGTAGATTTCTGCAGGTAATTAGCACTGCCTGACTTTCATTTTCAGGACTGCTCAGTTTAGACTAAATTAACAAAGAGGTAGCTTGGTCAACAAATTTTGTGAGAAATAAATTCTAAGGTTAGAAGAGGCTAGCTAGGCTTTAGAAGGCAGGCCAGAGTAGGATGCATCCTTCAGCTATGCCCTCTATCCTTCTGAGAAAGATATAATATCAATAGGCTGTTTAGCATGCACTTCTTCCCTCATAATTCCCTGGAAAAGAAGAAAAAGTTAAAGTGAGTTA